AGCTCTCTGGGATTGAGAGGGGGTTGGTCCTGCCTGGGCAGAGGGATTGAGGGCAGGGTAGGATGTCTGAATGACGGGCCTTGAGGAGGGGGAGCCTTGTGCTGGAGGCAGGACCTTCCCTCCCCTTAGCCCAGCCTCCCCCTCCCCCCTTTACCAGGAACCTGTCCAAATGGTGGCGGATAAAGAAGAGACCATGGTCTCCTCAGCCTTCCCCAGGCCCAGGGCCTGTTTCTGGTTCCCTTTGGTGGGCCAGCCCTCAGCCCCCAGCACCCAGTGTCCCAATGTCCCTGACAGCTGGCCCCCTAAAAGCAGACCCCTAGTCCGGCCGGCGTGGCTCAGTGGTTGAGCATCGAGCCAGGAGCCAAGAGGCCCCGGATGGATTCCCAGTCACGGCACATGCCCAGGTTGTGGACTCGATCCCCTGTGGGGGGCGTGCAGGAGGCAGCCGATCAATGATATTTCTCTCTTACCGTGTTTCCATCTCTCCACCCCCCCTTCCACTCTCTCTAAAAAAGCAAAGAAATATATTTTTTTTAAAAAAAGCAGAACCCGAGACCGTGTGAACGCTCACAGCCCCTTGCAGGTGTCTTTTGTGAGCGGGTGGGGCAGAACTGGGGCTGAGGCAAGACTTCCCTGGGGCTCAGGGCTGGCCTGGGACGCTGGGACCCATCTTTGGAAGCCCGAGGCTCAGGCAGCTGAGCTCCCCACCCCCAGGCCCAGCTGTTGTTTGGTGACTCCAGGGCCAGGCCTACCCTCAGGAGAGTCTTCCTCCTGGACGCCTGGCCAGCGCCAGCCCAGCCCGGGCAGGAGGGGACGGAAGGCGGCCTTGGACCAGGGGAAGCTCTGGCAGCCGGGCGGCCGGCCAGGCTCCTGTCTGACTGGGAACAGCATCAGAGCTGCGCACGGACAATTGGAACCCCCCCGAGGACTCCTGCTGGACCCGGGCCAGCCTCAGAGGGCTCCGCTCAAGGCCACGGAATGAGTCCTGACTCCGGTCACAGCCTGAACCGCGAGCCCCGGTCTCCAGAGGCCTGACCCTGCTGGTCACAGGCGGAGTCCAGCTGGCAGTGTGGTGCGCTCCATCCTTTAAAAGGCCTTTCGGCTACCACCAGACCCTGGACGGATGACAACAAGTGCACATTTTTAATAAACTGCTGGGCTTACAAGGAAGTAAATATCCCCGAGGTCCCTCCAGAATTAAACACTGCGAGTGGATAAACAGGAGAAAAGGGAGCAGACCCAGGACGATGCAGGAAAACAAGAGGGGAAGCAGCGTGTTCTCTGGACACAGGGCGGGAGAGCCACCCTGCAGCCAGAGAGCCGGAGAGCCGGGGCGGCACTGCGCAGGGGCCACCCACCGGGACCCTGACTGGCCCAGCTGGCCCTGCTGCCCAGAGGGAGTCCTCCCTGGAGGGAAGCGGCAGCAGAAACAACACATAACAAAGGTAGAGCCCACAGACCAGCACACGGCACGGCGAGGTACAGGCTGTAACATGACTGCCAGCTGTCTAACAGACCGGAGCTGGACCCCAGAAGTCAAGCATGCCCGAGGGACCATCAGAAACGATCAGACTTCAAAAGGAAGCAAGTGCAACTTTTAGGAATAGTCATTTAGAATTAAACGGATGAGTGTATCGGCAGATCAGACACAGCCAGTGCGTCTGAGCGGGAAGAGGGCGCTGGAGGAATTGCCCAGAGGCAACAGAGAGACACTGAGATGGAAAATACAAGAGAGCCCGGCCGGTGTGACTCAGGGGCTGAGCGTCGACCCGTGAACCAGGAGGTCAGGGTTTGATTCCCCGGTCAGGGCACACGCCTGGGTTGCAGGCTCCATCCCCAGTGTGGGGCGTGCAGGAGGCAGCCGGTCCATGATTCTCTCTCATCACTGATGTTTCTGTTTCTATCTCTCTCTCCCTCTCCCTTCCTCTCTGAAATCAATAAAAAAAATATTTTTTAAAAATACAAGAGAGCCCTAACTTGTTTGGCTCAGTGGATAGAGCGTCAGCCTGTGAACTGAAGGGTCCCAGGTTTGATTCCGGTTAAGGACATATGCCTGGGTTGTGGGCTGGATCTCCAGTGTGTGTGTGTGTGTGGGGGGGGCGTGCAGGAGGCAGCCGATCGGTGACTCTCTCTCATCATTGATGTTTCTATCTCTCTCTCCTTCTCCCTTCCTCTCTGAAATCAATAATAAAAATATATTTGAACAAAAATACAAGAGAGATGAATTGACATCGAGGTCAGAGGAGAAGCTTTCCCCAAGGAGAACATGTACAGTGAGTGACAGGCAGAGCTCGCGGGATGCCGGCTAAGAATTCTCCAGAACTAGGAAATACCTGATCCCCAGGCACGGGAAACACCGTGTACGCCGAATAGGTAATCAGGAACGGAGCCGCAACTAGGAACAGACTCAAAGCATAGGACAGAGTGCAGCAGACCCTGAAGATCTTAACATCTCCCCGAGAGAACAGGCCGCGCCCTTACCGGGTGCCCATCTGAACCCCCACCCTGGAGTCGTGGGCAGAGTGCTGCCCTCCCTCAAGGCGTTCCAGGAGGAACCGAACAAAAGAGTTTCAGGAAAGGAGGAAATTGAGGTGGTTCTAGGGATCAAAGGGAAAGAACTTCAAGGACACGTTTATTGCCGGAAAACTACCACTTCAGTGAGCCTGCTCTGACGAGTCATAAGCGTGTCTCACTTTTCATATTTCAATTTATCAAAAGAAGAATGTGTACCCTAGTTTGTATCAAGGGCCTTGGCCAAGGGTCAGGGTCATATATTAAAGAAACCATTCCAAATAAAGGACAAAGTGTGAAATAATAATAATAAAAGATGCTAACCCTGGGCACTGGCCGAGCTCTAATCCTGGTCTCAGGCTGAGCGGGACCCTGGCCTGTTTGAGCTGTAACCTGGGCACAGGCTGGGCCGGACCGTGGCCTCAGTTTGAGCTGTAACCTGGGCACAGGCTGGGCCGGACCGTGGCCTCAGTTTGAGCTGTAACCTGGGCACAAGCTGGGCCGGACCGTTGCCTCAGTTTGAGCTGTAACCTGGGCACAGGCTGGGGCGGACCGGGGCCTCAGTTTGAGCTTGAACCCTGGGCACAGGCTGGGGCGGACCGGGGCCTCAGTTTGAGCTTGAACCCTGGGCACAGGCTGGGGCGGACCGGGGCCTCAGTTTGAGCTTGAACCCTGGGCACAGGCTGGGGCGGACCGGGGCCTCAGTTTGAGCTTGAACCCTGGGCACAGGCTGGGGCGGACCGGGGCCTCAGTTTGAGCTTGAACCCTGGGCACAGGCTGGGGCGGACCGGGGCCTCAGTTTGAGCTTGAACCCTGGGCACAGGCTGGGGCGGACCGGGGCCTCAGTTTGAGCTTGAACCCTGGGCACAGGCTGGGGCGGACCGGGGCCTCAGTTTGAGCTTGAACCCTGGGCACAGGCTGGGGCGGACCGGGGCCTCAGTTTGAGCTTGAACCCTGGGCACAGGCTGGGGCGGACCGGGGCCTCAGTTTGAGCTTGAACCCTGGGCACAGGCTGGGGCGGACCGGGGCCTCAGTTTGAGCTTGAACCCTGGGCACAGGCTGGGGCGGACCGGGGCCTCAGTTTGAGCTTGAACCCTGGGCACAGGCTGGGGCGGACCGGGGCCTCAGTTTGAGCTGTATCCTGGGCACAGGCTGGGCCTTGCAGGCCCTGGCAGGGCTTGGCCATCGCTGACTCCTGGAAGCACGCGCTCTGGTGGACCGTGGGGGTCTCACCTCCTCTGAATCTGGCGGGAGGCCCTGGCTGACCAGTCATGGGGTCACAGGGCCCGGCCAGGGAAGCCAGTGGCAGAAGCCAGGAGGCCGCCTTTCCC